GAAAAAAACAGCTTGTACAGATATTTTCTTTTCCAATTTTATCTGTACAAGCTGTTCATATGGTTGCTAATAAGTGTTTTTATTTGTAAATGGTAAATATACAGTGAAAATGTAAGCGAAAAGGTTTGCTACTTTTTATAAGCAATTTAGTGACATACATAAAATTTTCGTTTTTGTAATACTTTTAAAAGATGTTCGTAAACTGTTTAATGTAAAATTTAAAAATAAAAAATTTGAAAGATAATAAATCAATGTTCGTTCATTTGGAAAGGTTTAAAAAAAGATAATTGCGGTACATACTGCTATAATAGCATCAATCAAAGTCAACGTAAATATGTACCAAATAGTGTTCATAAAATTCCATATACGTCAAATTGACGCATTCCATAAACCTAATGATAATATTCGTTGAATCGACCGATTAATAAACCTAGTGTTAGAAAAGAATGAAGTTACTATTCACCATCGCTTCATGAAAAACACCTTACAACACGTCATCCATCCCACGCATCATAATCGAAACAACATACTCCATCAAGTTGGAAATCATCTCGCGGTACGCTCACCTCCGTTTCAGCCCACTCTTCTAACAACATTGTTATCGCGAAGGATCGAAGCGACGCGACGCTTCAGCGAATCACGCGCCGTGTTGCCAGTTTAACCCCAATTCAGCGGAACGATTTATTTCATTCGAACGGTGCTCGCATCAAGATCAGCGACGCGAATCGAGGCTGGCTCCCCGATACCCTAAGTATCTAACTCGAATCGAAGAACGGCTGAAGTAGCCGAGCCTGGTTTCAGCCACGAGACACGTCATTGACTACGAAATCGATTTGCCTCGCACGTCCGCACGAAAACTGATGACGGATGCGGTAGTAGGCGGACTGGAAAGATCGCGCGATACTGAACACGCAATGGAAAACAATCTTTTTTCATAGAAAAAGATGTGTTTAACACTAAAACTACCGGATGAGTCAAATTGGCCCACTTTAGAATTCTTATTTTGCAAGTATTTTCATTATGAAGGCGTTTCTGCGGAAGATTTTCAATTAAATTCAC